ATGTGTGCAATTCACACGTGGTAGAAGTGAAACCTTCCAAAATTAAAATACAATTATCCTAAACGTCTTAAGTATATGTAAAATTTTGTCATTAGTAAATAATTGTAAGGTAGCGCCCTCTGTGAATTGATATTTTAATTTCACGTATAATCCTAAATTAAAATTCACTACAAGAGCTTTCATACACACGTTAGTATTACAAAATCTCACAGATGGCGCTGCATTAAATAGTATGTATATTTCTGTCTCATTCTTTGCTGGCTTCATCCTACACATTTTTGTATTTGTGTCTCTTACCTGTCGTTTTTTCCGTTGCATCCGGTTTGAAATCACAACGACTCTAAAGAAGTTTTCACTTCAAAAAGTGGAAGCTCGTTTTGTATCTGCTATGTGAGCATTCCGCGAAAACTAGGAATAGCTACATTATAATGAATTTAGTTTGTAGCGCTTTAGTTTTGTTATACACTTGCATGCCCTGACTGTTGCAAGTAAGCTCGGCAAACGACGACTTACGGAACCCTATCTGAGAAGGTCGGTAAGTTTCGTCAATGAACCGCCTGCTGTGACATAACAATGGTGCTTCTTAAACGAGTGATGTCATGGAAATGACAGATGCGTAAATTCAAGGAAAAATTCGAAAATTAAAACTAAGCGACTACATAACGGCCGTCTGGTGTAGTGGTAAGTAACATGGTCACTACACAAGGGGGTTGCGGGTTCGAATCCCGCCAAGGGAAGATATTTGTATGATAAATATAAATGTCTTTTCCAGGGTTATGGATGTATATTAAATATATGTATGTGTATAATAAAAATCTTACATTTATTTCCGTTATCTGGTACCTGTAACACAAGTCCTTTACGAACTTATCACGGGACCAGTTAACGTGGCGTGATTGTTAGTAAATATTTATTTATTTATAATCGTAATTATTTTAAAACCTTTAATATTATTTATATTTTTCCGTTTTAAATATATGTTAATTAAATCTTATTTTTTTCTCGCTACTGTATAAAGATATAGAATTTACTAATAATTTGTACTAAATGTAACTTGTTTGAGAAACTAGGTTCTTTTGTTGTTCTACAATCGACCTAGAAACAGCGAAACTAGTTTTATTTATGGTGAAATGAAGTGAAATTTAAACGTTGTCGTTCGTGTCTTGTAATTTCAAGGGCACGGTTACGATATAAAGGGACACCCTCCGTATTTTCTTCCAAGCGAAAATGTATTTTTATTAATTTATTTGTTCAATTACAATTATCATGAAATTATCAGATTTCCCGCATTACCGCGATAAAGTACAGTTGTGTTTTAATGTAGCTCCAAATATTAATTCAAATTCTGTTCCTAAAGTGTCTGAGCTCATCAATTATGCACATATTATAGTTAATTTGCTGTGTAGTGATACAAATACAGTGTATATATGACATCGAGTGCCGGGAATTACATCTATAAAAGGAAATTATTTGAGTGATTTTAAACAATTGGCAAAATTGAGGAATCTATCTACCCTCACCTTACTTAACGAGGGCCTTTCTTAGTGTGCTAATTTTAATGTGCTAATGATAAATTTGCCTGTGTTTCGTACTGAAACAGATTTTTCGTGTTTCTGTATTTTTATTAATATCGAGTATTAGGCAATACATCTTCAAGACAACACAAATCTTAACCTAGGTACAGTAAGGTTCGATCTCGCCTGTAGACGACCGGCTAGCCAACCAGAAGCTTGCTGAGCAACCCCTCCAAGCCTACGGGCAGAGGTCGCCGTCGTATAGTAACTTAACACACGCGTTCCGCGGCAGACATTCTTTATTACAAACAACAAAAATTACCCAACGCAAGTCACGCGTAACCATTAGAACCAGCGACAATTGTTCATCGTGTACCAGTCAAGGGACAGACGGTCCCACCTCCGGAAACGACGCTGAGCCCAGGGAGCGCGAGGCAGTGGAAGGAAGGTGAACCGGTAAGTCTTCAGACATATTTCGTTCCTTACTGTACATATTTTTTGGTCCTTCGAGCCGGATTGCTTAGCGTGACCTTGTGTTGTCTTGAGTTAGTATTCATTTTTAATTTGTAATAAAATAAAATTCACGATAACCGCCATTAACTCGCGCTGCTCCGTAGCCATCATGGCGGATATCGAACAAGATTTGTTTGAACGCGAAATAATTCTTGACGATATCAAACGTACATTACAAGTTGCTCAAATTAATGAACAACAATTTAGATCTCGTGTTATAGACTTAACNGTAATCGGAAAACTTTCCACCTACCAAAAATCAAAAGTAATCTTGGCCAGCACTCTCCTGTCTATCGTATGACTTCCCTGGCAAATAGTATACGTGATGAAATTGACATATTTGTTTGCCATGCTTCTCTAGCCTCACTTAAAATAAATTTAAGTTCCGTGATCCACACCGAGCTGTAGACCAATCACATTTATTTTTATTTCTATAGAACATTAATTTCCCTCTTTTAATTTTTTATTTTCATCGTTTTTTTTTTTTTGTAAGTTTGTATATGTAGTTTTTTGTTTTCTTTGTCTTAATTTAATAATAGTTAACGATATTTTTATCTTAAGCACAAACGCTCTTAAGCAAGATGTGTTCACATCCAAAAGGGTGAATTCGATAATGTATTATTTTATGTAAATAAGTTCAATGTTTATCTGTGCAGTTTTCATCCAGTTGTGTGAACCTAATAAAAAAAAAAAGTTAAAAAAAAAAAAAAAAAAAAAGGTATAAATTGTAGACAAAGCACAGATTGTACTTATTCTCCATAAAATTGAGTTCTAAAAGTCTCATTTACCTCAAAGATGTTTAATTTGTGTCAAGAAATAAATGTGTCCATTTGTATATAAATTATACACGAAATTTTCGTTTAATACTTTTCTTTTTATAGATATAGCAAATGTTTGTTGAACTAAGCACACAGTCAAATCCTTAGTTTAATATAATTGTAACACTTGGTCTAGTCTAGTTTAGTCCATAATTTAGTTCCCTCGAAAGGTCTGTTCTGCAAGGTCTGAATTTGCAATTTCTTTCTGAAAACTATTTGATACACACCTTAAAACGTTTTCTCTGCTTCTTTAGAAGTTCATATTCTTGGTGACGGTAGCAGTGCAATCGAGTAATTAAAAGGTCTGACCGGTTCAGCTATTTCTATTGTTTAGTTCACCAATGGACGGAAATCCACAAAACGAAAATGCATGTGCTCAATATTTTGCGAATAGAGTTATATGCGTTCGCTAAGTTTGATTATGTTTCAGCTAATGGACCGTAACCACAATTTGCGTACGAAAACCCAACTCTGCGCGGCGCGGCGGCGTTGGAATTCAAATTAATGAATTACTTACAATGTTTGTAAGCAATCAGTAATTTATGTGTGTTTTATTGGCTTAATTTGTCTTGTATGCACCCCATCTGCGGTTCAATGATGTGATATATGAACATATGTAACATATATTGTTATTGCTTATATACATTATGCGATTTTTTGGGCAAGAAGAAATAAGCAGACTTCCTCTAATGCGTCGTTGGCGGAAAGTACACTACGTTAACGCCGAACCAACTAAAAGTTCACATTATTTCACAGTAAGATAACCTTTATTGTTATTGGTAGGGCGTCTTTTGAGCCCATACGGGTGATTTATATAGGCTTCAGTAACCACTTGCGTTAATACTTGAGTGAACTACCTCCCCATATAACTATGCTGTATAAAAATCTCTAGCTGACTACTCTTAAATAGATGTATGCATTTTAATATTTTTAGTGACTCTTTTAGGGTGTCATTTTTATTTCACCGATTTTCAACTCAGAGCGGTTTCAATGATGTTTTCTCATCAAATAAACTGAAAGAAAGTAACACGAATTTAGAACATCAAATTTCGACAAGTATGGTTCGAAAGATTCTGTCCCATCCTCTGTTGTTGCACAAATTGTAATCTGGGTTATTGAACATTATTTTTAGCGGTCTGAGTTGTTCTTTTTATAGATAAGTTTGTCTCATGCTATCTTTATTATTATTATTATTAATATATTTATAATTATTGAAAAACATTCTCAATATATATTTTATATTTAATTATTAGAAACTTACAAAACATTTACACGTAATAATATATTTTGGTTAGGCTACGTATAGTATAATACAGAATGGTAGAGGTCTGCTTCACTGAAATGCTTGGCTATAAAGTAGTCTGGTCAACGTATCCTAAAAGCCGGAGTCTGCTGAGTCCACCGTCCGGAGCTATTGTGACCCTAACATGGGTGATGAGGTCTGATTGGCAGCTGAACCAGTGCTCCTTGTGGGCAGATAGCTGAAACAAATCGAGAGTTTTTAAAACTTGGCTACGCGTTAGGTGCTTTTCGTAGAATCGTTTTTTTGCAAAAAAAAAGGTCTCAACTTAAAGCATTGAGGTCGCGTGTCTGTTAACCATTAGTGAAAATTGATATACATATGTACGTAGAGCTTATTTCCTGCACTTTGTAAATGGGCAAGAAGCAAAAATGTATTATTTAGACGAAGTTTGAAGGAGCGACATATCCGAAGTTTGGGACAGTGGCTTAACTCTACACATGCCTGACACTTCTAATATATTTGGATGACCTACTTATACACAGTATTGCGTCTTTGCTTGTTGTTGTCTCGTTTAGTGCAGGAGAAATTCCAACGGAACTATTTTATATTTACTAAAACTATAATCTACATAATAACCCTATTGTGAACGCTAGTCTTTATGAGCTAGTTTAATGAAGTAACGAAGTTTTTTGCGATTTTTTTCACTCAACAATCAATAGCTTATATTTATTTTACATAATAAAATAAAGATATTTTATATGTATATATAAATATGTACACTATAAGATAATCGAATGCAATCAATGTGGTACACAGAGTCAAAAACTCTTTATTCAGTATAAAGGTTTTTTTTTAATTTTATTTTTATTGCTTAGATGGGTGGACGAGCTCACAGTCCACCTGGTGTTAAGTGGTTACTGGAGCCCACAGACATCTACAACGTAAAAGCGCCACCCACCTTGAGATATAAGTTCTAAGGTCTCAACTATAGTTAGTAGTTCTTTCATTCTCATATGACGATGTAGTAGCAGGCAATACAAGAGCCCATGGCCATTATCAAAACAAACATAGTTACAAAACATAAATAACAGTTCAATAATTAAATTAAATTATTTTTAGTTAAGTTATTATACAAAAAAACTGATGATGTCGACTCTATAAAATGTATTATTCAAATTACAACGTTATTATATTAGTGTTACAAGCAGAAATCGCTCGATAAAACCCGTCAATGAGCGTTCACAAGCAAATAAAATTTTAGCACGTAATAACTTTAGTTTCATTTATTTCAGTGCACTTGCCGCATGCCGTCGGTGAACTGTGTCGCCGCTATCGCATTTAGTTTACGATCGACACATGAAACTTCATGTTAACATTTCATTTTATTTAAACGTTCGAATCACAGCATGTTTACCATTTTATATTAAAACAGGTTCGATCAGTTTCGGTTGTAAGGAGTTTTGATGCACTCGTTAAAGTGGTGGTGGTGGTTGAAGTATTACTGGTGGTAGGACATCTTATGAGTCCGCACGGTTATGTACCACCACCCTGCCTATTTCTGCCGTGAAGCATTAATGCGTTTTGGTTTGAAGGGTGGGGCAGCCGTTGTAACTATACCTTAGCACTTATATCTCAAGGTGGGTGTAGCATTTACGTCGTAGATGTCTATGGGCTCCAGTACCCATTAAACACCAGGTGGGCTGTGAGCTCATCCACCCATCTAAGCAATAAAAAATAAAAAGTGACAACTGAAGATGAAGTCATATTAAGAATTCCTTACCTACATTATTTGTTGCAGTTATAATTAATTAGCTACTTTTTTTAAATGTGCTGGTTAAATCTCCCGTAAAGCAAGAAGCAAGTATGCTTTCTAGTCCGATGATTTCTCCACGGAACTCGGGAAAATCACAATCAACGTCATTGTGCCCTTCCGCACTTAAACTTCGTATCTTTTATAAATATTTTTTGTTATAATAAAGAACAGAGCAACTCAGAACTATTTAATATATATTTTTAACATTTGCCGAAAATTCCTATCGTAAATAGTGTTGTTAGCCTACGCTTCTCTCAGATGTCTCATAACATCACTGTACAAACGAATTTGCGACATCAATCTTTTGAAAAATGTCTGAACTCTGATCACAACTAGAGGTAGCCTGAGAGCTTGTCTACTACTCATCTCTTCATTTATAAAATAATTAAATTTAAAACGTTGCCAATTCTCCTTCAGTTCAAGTAGCTCAGTTCTCTTAAGGCGACTACATGACTAAGTTGCTATATGTATCAATTCTTACCTTGCACGGTACCAATATGCTTCTCCAATTACATTCGTTATTGGATTGATTATCCCAATCATTCTGTCCTAAATTGCAGCCTTCAATCCTGATATGATCTGGATAATTTCCTTTGAAATGTGTTGTGTCAATGCACACTCTTCTTATTGTACCAGCAAAACCTAATTTGTAGACTGCCCACTCGTTGCCTGCAAAGATATTAATTATTATATATTATTATTATTATATTATATATTTTTTCTGGGAAAATAAAGTGTTAATGCAACACGTCACCTGTGTGTAGGTCTTACTAGAACTAAACTTGATTCCGTCATTTATTCAAAATTTATTTTTATTGCTTATATGCGTGGACGAGCTCACAGCCCACCTGGTGTTAAGTGGTTACTGGAGCCCATAGAAATCTACAACGTAAATGCGCCATCCACCTTGAGATATAAGTTCTAAGGTCTCAATTATAGTTACAACGGTTGCCCCACCCTTCGAACCGAAACGCATTACTGCTTCACGGAAGAAATAAGCGTGGCGGTGGTACCTACCCGTGCGGACTTACAAGAAGTCCTACCACCAGTAAAAATATCAATATTTCTATAAAATATGAATATAAATTAATATAAATTTTATTAATAATTCTACAACTGACTCTCGCGCTCTGGAAAAGGGGGCATTCATTACGTGTTCATTGATCACTATGTATTGATAGCATCTGACCTGAAAACCTCAGAGTTCCGTCATCATTCTCTTCGATGATCTCGGGCCTATCCGCCCTTCTCGCCGTCTCCCAACCATCAGCCATTGACCTGCTTTTCATTGGTTTTAATATATTTCTAGGGTGTCCGTAGTGAGCGTTCGAAAAACCTTAAATAAAAAATGAATTTTAAATACAAGTCTTAGGTTTGGATTTAGTAAAGATGTTTTATTGTGTAATCTAGGCTTGATGTTTTGCGTTACAACTTGAAAAGTGTTTTGAGAGAGAATTGTCAACTTTGATCCTGAGTCCCAAAGTGAGTGAGGGCATCAAGTTATTGCCTCTAAAGAGTCCGGTAGCTAATGAATACAAGGTGGGCCATGTGACCGTGAACAATAACAAAAAAGACAAATGTCAGATTTATCGAATCACATTTAGATCTATACTAATATTATAAAGAGGAAAGATTTGTTTGTTTGTTTGTTTCGAATAGGCTCCGAAACTACTGGACCGATTTGAAAAATTCTTTTGCCATTAGAAGCCGACATTGTCCCTGATGAACATAGGCTACTTTTTTTATTTTATTTTTTTATTTATTTTTTTGGTTCCATTTGTGTTTTAATGTTTCCGAAGCGAAGCGAGGGCGGGTCGCTAGTATATAATACCTATTTTTGTCTTGTTTAATGTACTAAATTTACGTGACGTAGCTAGAAACATAGGTACGCTTTCATATAGAGAAATCAACTCTGATTTGAAAATTAATTTTGCTAACTTATGAGGTTTCCAGCGGTTCCCTGAACTGATCATCTGAGAGTTTGGCTTCTTTAAAGAACGTGTAATTAATTGTGTGTTCACATTAGAGCTTTATGTAGAAAAAGATTCCAATATTTTCACTAATATAAACTAGTTGGTATTTTGATATCGGAGCGTGGTAGCATTCTCGTTGTAACTTCTATGTTACCATGTTACCACTTAACAAAAGATTGTCCGCAATACCAAAAAGCACAAAACAAAAAAAGCACTTGTAGGCAGACGAACATACGGCCCACCTGATGGTGAGTGGTTACCGTCGCCCATGGACTTCAGTAATGCCAGGGGTAGAGCCAAGCCGCTGCGTACCGTTAAGACCTTTACACAACGCACAATCCAATTTTGGAATTCATTCCAGCTTCAACTCTCATATTGAAGAGATCTCTTTTTGCAAACTAGGTTAACAACGAGTTCTAACTGTACGTCGTACTGCTAATACTTAGGAGTAGCAGTGATCATCATTTATTTAAAGATAGGCGTCGTCTACCAGCTTTGGCAAAAAAAACCAAATTAATTTGCGCCTGACCTCTCACAGGCTTACTGCACGCCCCGTCCACAGGAAGAAAACTACATTTTTATGTTCTCTGTTGTTTCTCCTACGAAAAGATTCTCGAAGAGGAAGAAGAAGAAATAGCAATTAGTATTATTATAACTAAATAATCTATTTCAAACAAAGACATACCTTGACAGATTCCTCCATTAAGTAATGACACTAAGTCTATCATATCGTGAATAGCCAGAAGTTCGGGTTTGGCTTCGCCGAATACTCTGAGTCTGGCGATGCCACCATCAGGATATATGTTAACTCGGATGTGTGTCCAGGAGTCATCGTTTACGACCTAATTGGATAGAATTATAATTATTAACGCTATTTTTGGGGTATGACCTTGTGACATTAATCTATTAAGTAGGCCTACTACTTCACTACGATCAATAGCATCAGCTTGTTTACAAAATGTATCCTCCTACTAATCTGCTTTGATCTGTCGACATTGGACATGCTTTTCTCAGGCAGAGACAGTCAGAGAAGCAGCCCGTTTTATTATAATATATGTTATTGGAAGCCGTATTATTATTAAGTTTAAGGAGTATCGTTCAACAATACAATACCGGACACTTGGACCTCATGTCTTGAACACCTGAATGAGCGATAGCAGAATAGACTAAAACACCAGTAATTTGTAACTCTGTAAAGTTATTAGCTAGGATCTCTTGCGAGTCCGCGCGGGTAGGTACTACCGCCCGGTCTATTTCTGCCGTGAAGCAGTAATCCGTTTCGGTTTGAAGGGTAGGGCAGCCGTTGTAACTATACTGAGATCTGAGAACTTATCTCAAGGTGGGTGGCGTATTTACGTTGTAGATGTCTATGGGCTCCAGTAACCACTTAACACCACGTGGGCTGTGAGCTCGTCCACCCATCTAAGCAATAAAAATAAATAAATAAAAACAGCAAGTTATACCAACAATCAATGTTAGAGTGCAATAAAACATACTCATACGTGGAATCTCTAAAACAAAAACCTCGAGAAAACGAAACGAAAACGTTGTAGATGTCTATGGGCTCCAGTAACCACCTCACATCAGATGGGCCGTGAGCTCGTCCACCAATCTAAGCAATATAAATAAACAAACAAACACAACCAGCTGATGGTCAATATCTGATTTCTTTTTGGGGGATTGTGTTGAGATCTACAACTCTGAGGCATGTGGTATTCGAACTTAATTCAAATTTGATTTTACTTACTTTTTGATAATTGAATCTGGTATCTTCATATCCCGGCCGTAGCACAGTAACAGGGACGATCTCTTGCCACTCATCCGAATGAATTCTGGTGATCAGTTCCATGTCTTGGGCGGAACATGACGAGCCCATCGTGGGATGTCTGACTGGTATAAGTTTTTCATCTGTAAATTTAAATTTTTAGTTTACTTTAGATTATCAAAGTATATTTACGAGGTTTAATTACGTACACTGTTCTATATGAACAGTCGAAATGGTCAAGTCGCTAACTGAAAGTTGTGTAGACAGTGCCTACCTCATGTAACGTCATATTATATGTCGTCGTGGCCTAAGGGATAAGACGTCCGGTGCATTCGTGTTGAGCGATGCGCCGGTGTTCGAATCTCAGGCGGGTACCAATTTTTCTAATGGAATATGTACTCGGCAAATGTTCACGATTGACTTCCACGGTGAAGGAATAACATCGTGTAATAAAATTGAAACCCGCAAAATTATAATTTGCGTAATTACTGGTGGTAGGACCTCTTGTGAGTCCGCACGGGTAGGTACCACCGCCCTGCCTATTTATGCCGTGAAGCAGTAATGCGTTTCGGTTTGAAGGGTGGGGCAGCCGTTGTAACTATACTGAGACCTTACAACTTATATCTCAAGGTGGGTGGCGCATTTACGTTGTAGATGTCTATGGGCTCCAGTAACGACTTAACAACAGGTGGGCTGTGAGCTCGTCCACCCATCTAAGCAATAAAAAAAAATAAAAAATATATATCATTTCAGTCTGTGGTAAATTAAAAATACGAGTAAGCTTTTTTTTCCTATAAATAACACCTGATTGCTTATTTGCATATGCATATCTATTTTCAAATTTTTAATAGTTCCAAAATATCCTAACGTTTGTATTTTATAAAAATACGAGTACATATCTTACGTGTACATAATTATGTTTATAAATTATTTTTCTCACCTTCTGAAGTCAGTGTTGCTGCTTGAATTGAAAACTTTGGAGCATTGTTTCCAGTGAAGAAGGCTGTATCTATTACCAATCCTGTTGAAAATAATTCAATATTATATACTATTTTTTTTTGAAATGTATGTATGTTGGAGTATTTCTACTTTCGGGTAGCGACATGGTCAGCGGGTGGTCTTCGTAAGTCAATAAAACCAGAAATGTTAACTCAGAGCGTATATTACGCAGGAGCGTTCTGTCTGACACGGCGACTCGCTCGCTTCTGAGCTCGAGTTTTTTTTTTTTTTCCTACCTATGCTGATAGCCTTGAGAGGCTATTTCAGCTTCGCCCTAACGTTTGTAGGTGAGCTCGCGGGGCTCAACCGGAGAGTTGCTAACACTGACCCTAGCAAGAGCAGTGCTTCGCAGAATCTACCACCGGATCGGAAACGCGATCCACTGAGAAGATCCGGCGAGAAACTCAGTGGGCTGTGTCTATGGGTTAGTTCGCTCGTCGAGCCCTTCGTCGCAAGCGACGGGTTCGACGGGTTCGACGAGGACGGTGACCGGTGCTTGTGATGCCTAAAAGCACCGTTAATGGATCAGGAGGATCCGTAATGACGTGCTTTGGGCGACGTCGACGGTTTACCATTCGGTCTACTGGGTCGGATATGTAATTTTCAGCGGCTACGATGAGAGGGTTCTCATGTCGTGCCGCCTTCTCAAAATGGTGCAGCGATGCCGACTGTAGATACTTACTTAATGAGTCGAGCTCCAGGTCATCGTGGAGATCCACATTCCTAAGGAACCACGGCGCTCCGACGGCTATCCTGCAGAATCGTGATTGAATAACCTGAAGGGATTTCAAGTGGGTGCGGGCTGCGTGAGCGAACACTACGCTTGCATACGTCATGACGGGGCGTATACAAGTTTTGTAGAGAGTTACCTTATTGCGGAGGGACAGTTTGCTTCGACTACAAAGCATTGGATAGAGTCGTCCTAGAATAAACGCGGCGCGGTCGCGTACCGTTTTTATATGGGGACGGAATGTCATCCCTCTGTCGAGGGTGACGCCTAGATATTTGACCTTCGAGACCCACGGTATGGGCTGGCCAAAGAGAGTGATGGGACTAACGGCGGAGGTGTTTGCGCGCCTACTACGGAGTGGGATGCTCGAAGTGATGTTCGGAGGGCGACCCCTTTTGAAGAGCACCGCTGCGCTTTTCGTGGGGTTGATGTCTATTCGCCACTTCCGGAACCACTGTCCCATGGTGGCTACTGCGATCTGGAGTCGCCGATGAAGCAGCGACATCTTCCTACACGAGTAGTAGATAGCCGTGTCATCGGCGAAGAGCGCTAGATGGGTCTCCGGAGACCGGGGTATATCATTGATATACAAACTAAATAATAACGGGGAGAGCGCGGAGCCTTGCGGGACTCCGGCAGTCAGTTGACGGGGACGAGAACGAGTTCCCTCTACTCGATATCGAAACGAACGGTTCGACAAGAAGTCTCGTATGATGAGCACGAGTCTGTCTGGCACTCCCATGTTGTACAGTTTATAAATTAAACCGTTGTGCCAGACTTTGTCGAACGCCTTCGCGATGTCGAAGAAGAGGGCGCCGGTCGGGATTTGTTTACGCCTATTTAGTCCTATCAGGATGTGCTCCGTGAGGCGGTGCACTTGTTGTACGCACGAGTGTTTAGAGCGGAATCCGAACTGTTCGTCTATGAGAAGAGCTCGAGAGACAACAACGGAGCGTTTTTATAGCAAGGTATCGTGGTGGGACGATGTTGTTTACGACTCTTATCTTGCACGTGTTGTTTTCGATGAATGCTTGCACGTGTTGTTTGTCATGCCATCTTTATTAATCATGAACTAATGGTTTATAAAAACACGCCCCGACATGTATACTCTTCATCATTACCAAAACAACTTATTATCTAGAAATATTATTCATTCATTTCACTTCTTTTTAATTGGATACCCAGAAAACGAGTTTTGGAGAAAACAAGTGGAATGTTTTTAACACTATGGTTACGTCATCATAACTGTTACTCTGAGTATAATCAATAAACTAAAGTATATTTCAACTTTTATTTATTGATTCAGGGATTGCTATTAGTTTGGAGTCCTCCTTGTGGTTCCTACTCAATTACAAGACATCAGAAATCAACTAATTACCCAACCAACCAATAAAACTTCTTTCTTAGTTAAGGCATAGACACATCTCATGCTAATCAGTGAGAATTATTAAATGATTTCAAACTGTTTCACCTTTTATGACGCATTTGGTAGCCAGCTTGATGATGCACCAGTCGTGTCCCGGGATCCTCTTCCGTCTGGTCTCCCAGCCGTCCATCCATTTACCGTACTCCGTATATTTATCAGCTATGAATATTGGCTCTTCATCAGCTATCATATTTTCACAGGTTGCAAAGAAGTCATCTGTGGCGAATAATACTTTTCCACCAGCCTACAAACAAAAGGAATAAAATAAGTTATGGATAATAATATAGTCAGTTCCAAATTTATTTTCGTAAATATAATAGTGAGATTTTTCTGTCGTTAATACAATTGCCATTTATTATTGACTAGCTGAGCCGGCAGACTTCGTATTGCCTCAATCGATAAATAAACTTTTGTATAAAATAAACTTAAAACAAACAAAAGGAATTTTGATATTTATCTACCTTTTAAACCTTCTCTGGACTTTCAAACAAATAATTCAAGACAAAAATTAGCCAAATCGGTCCAGCCGTTCTCGAGTTTTAGCGAGACTAACGAACATCAATTCATTTTTATATATATAGATTTATGTCTAACAAATTGTGAAGATAACTTCTGAATATATTTCATATTACGTAATACAGCAAAATCTGTAGATGTAAGACTTTATTACTGTGCTGAAACAGGTTAGTAACGTTTTGAGATTTTGTTTTACAGTTCATTCAACTTTCAATTTAGTTAGATAAGAGAGAACCAACGAACGTTAATTGGCTTTTGTAATTTTAATTATAAATAATTCTTAATTCAATGAGAATCTGCTTCAATGGTAACGTTAGGGTGGAATTAATTTCCAGTTGAGTGAACCACATGAGGATTATTTCTTGAAAAATACTCTGAATGCCGATAGATGAACCAACACAACGTACTGCCAACACACTGCCTACCACCTAAAAACATTAAGTCCAAGTTTTGATTAAATAAACCCTCAGACTTCATGAAGTGATTGGATTAGAACGTACTTGTGTACAACGTAGTTAGTCATTTGTAGCTATCAGAGAAAATAAGAAATTCGCAATAACATTAATCGTGTTAACGACTTTTGTAAGATAAGCTTTTTTAATTATTTATTGCCGTTATAGGCAGACGAGCATACGGCTCACCTGATGGTGAATGGTTACCGTCACCCATGGACTTCAGCAATGCCAGGGGCAGAGCTAAGCCGCTGCCTACCGTTGAATACTCTCCACAACCCTCATTTAAAGAAGGACATAGCGCTCGGAGAGCACCGTGGAGAGGAGCTCATTCCAAAGCCGGATGGTACGTGGCAAAAAAGATCTCTGAAAACGCGCTGCGGATGAACGCAATGGCTCCAGGTAGTGTGGATGAACTCTACTCCGGTGGCGGGCGGTGCGATAATAAAAACGAAATGATGGAATCATCTCAAACAATTTTCAGAACACTCCCCATGGAACATACGGTACAAAATACAGAGAGAAGCAATCTATCCGACGATTTGCAAGCGAAATAAAATGACACTCTACAAAACTTGAATATGCCCCATCATGACCTATGCAATTGTAGTGTTCACTCACGCGGCGCGCACCAACTTGAAACCCCTTTAAATAATGCAATCCCGTTTCTGCAGGATAGCCGCCGGAGCCCCATGGTACATCCGAAACGTGGACGACGACATGGATTTACAGTCCATCATTAAGGATCTACAGTCGCCATCAGCGCGTCATTTCGCGAAAGTGGCACGACACGAGAACCCTCTCATCGTGGCCGCAATCAAGTTCAATTCACCCCACTCGGAGACTCGGTCCAGAGAGCTCTCCACTTCGGACACAAGTTTTGATCGTCTCTCTTGCACCACGCTCTGACAGAGACCCTGATGGCCGATATATTATGTGCAATCTCCAAGAGCTCAAACAATCGGTCAACCAATCGGAAGACCTTTCGCTTAATATTTGGCTGTAGTACTCAAGATTAGAATTAGGAAAAAATCTAGAAAAAGCTAAGCTTAGGTAAATAACAAAGTGAGGAGACTACTGAAGGGTGGTTGTAGCGCATTCTGATTGATTCTATATAAATCTAATATTTATAGAACACACATATCTTTTTAAAAATTGAATTTAACTGTTTTTAATGATATATCCAATATAGTACAAGCTGATAGTAGTCCTGTGAATATATGTACGTGATATTCTGATTGATAGCTGACCGTATCGTTTCGTGTAAGATCGACTGGGCTAGTCTTTGAAATCTTCTATTCTATGCGAGACAACCTGCGTTCTTAAAAATAAATACTACATTTTCACTCGAATAAGCATAAGAGAAGAAGTTAAAACAGTACTCACACTGTGACTTGCCAGCTCGCTGAGCGAAGTATAGCTTGGTGGATGAATCAACATCTTGAGCAATGGACACAACTGTCTACAGTAGCACAGGGCGATAGCGGACTGCGATATCATGCCCGCTATAAGCGTTTATATACTGCACACAGATAGTACAGGTGCGAGTTACGGTCTAATGGAAATGTTGCTATTTTAGTAACTATTCATTTTCCAGTACTTATTTGTAAATAAAAAGTTTTGCACTTAAATTGAACACGATTTGTAAATAGTATTTTTAACTATTGAATAAATTTTCTAGTTGCCGTGCAAAGGTTCCGCGATATCATTATAATTGTATTTTTACTATAAATATTAAACTACATAGTTCGCGTACCACAAATTGGAAGAGATTTAAAATTAATCGAACTCACCTACAAGTGTTTATATTTATTTATTTATTTATTAAGTTGCACCAACAAAGTGATCATCAATACAAAACATTGAACAATTGACAAAAGTTCATGGCAGATGTCACCTCAATTATAGGTGCAATCGACAGTGCATTAACAACAAAAATAAAAATATAACTAAGATTTGATTACATTCTATTGATGGCTTAAGATTAATTTATATTTAATTGGGAAATGATCCGTGATTTATAGAAGATGAAGTAATAACAGGTGTGTAACAAATAACTGATAACTTCAAACTAAAAGGTAGGAATTCTGCGTGAATCAAATTTAGGGGATGGTAAAACCAAACCAACTGGATTTACAATAGAAACAACTATATGTACTCAACTGCTGTTAAGTACCTAAAGTACAGTTCTGCTGAACAGTGGTTGAAGTCTTCTGATCAACAGCTGTGCAGGCCATTGTCAAACTTCATCTGCTGACCGTACAGGTGTTTTCATTACTACTGTTCATAATTTCACGCTATAGACCGAGCCAATCTTCCAAGTACTCCCAGAAACTAAATCGAGAAGATACTTAAAATGCTCAATCTGTGCCCTTGTACATAAAAGTAAGTAAATTATACCAGCCCTACTGCCAAGGCTAAAAACGGTAAACGTAGAGGGTAAGATCACAATGAAGAAGCCCCGTTTGCTCAAACCAATTTCATTATCAATATCGTAGAAGCCATGCATCTTGCAGAGAGCCGACACAGATGAAAGAGACAAAACCTTCCTCAACGTAGTAAAACAAAAGACACCGCAGCTAGCAATTAAAACCTACACACTTTATATATGAAGAATATAGTCGTATACAAGTAGCCTTTGAAGGTAAGCCTGCCTGTGATACAAATAGTGATAAATCTACTGATTTGATTATCCGGTACGGGCATAATATTCCTACCATGCGCAACCCGAAAAATTATAATTTGCCTAACTATAGGTGGTAGAACCTCTTGTGAGTCCGCACGGGTAGGTACCACCACCCTGCCTATTTCTGCCGTGAAGCAGTAATGCGTTTCGGTTCGAAGGGTACGGCAGCCGTTGTAACTATACTTGAGACCTTATAACTTATATCTCAAGGTGGGCGGCGCATTTGCGTCGTAGATATCTATGGTCTCCATTAACCACTTAACACCAGGTGGGCTGTGAGCTGCACGCACTCGAAGCGTGCCCGCGTTGGGAGCACCCGCAGCGAGATCTCATCGCGGTGCTGGGGAGGGACCTCTCCTTGCGGGCTGTCATTGCCCGCATGCTAGAGGATGAGAGTTCGTGGGAGGCCATGGCCAGATTTTGCGACCTGGTCATGGTGTTCCGCGAGGCTGAGGAGCGCGAAAGGGAGTGGAATCCCTCTTCGGCTCCTCAGCGAAGAAGGCGGGGTGGGCGACGCGGGCACGATGCTCCCGTTAATCTCCCGTAGGGACTGTTGGGTACTGGGTGCGGGGGTGCCCGGTGCTCTGCTGTCGGTTCCGTGGTGAGGCGGCGCAAGGTGGCTCCTATGCGCCACTCACGGTGTCTCCNGGTGCTCTGCTGTCGGTTCCGTGGTGAGGCGGCGCAAGGTGGCTCCTATGCGCCACTCACGGTGTCTCCCGAGACGACGTCCTGCGGGATCTTCCCTGGGATTGGATCCCGTCCTATTGTCAGGACGGGTACCGGCGACGGCGAGCCTGCGGCGCGCATTGTGCGGTACCGTAGGTTTCGTGGAGTCGGAGTGGTGGAGTTCGATGGGGTTTAGTCGGTAGTCGGTTTTGCGGGGCGGGTCCTGCGTGGTAGACGCCGCGCAGCGCCTCGCGCGCCTTTCTCAAGGCGTAGTCTCCCGGTAGGAATTGGAAGAAGAGGAGGACTTTGGTCCTCCTCTTCTCCCTCTTCTTTTCTGGAGGCGCCGGAGTCCGACATAACCCGGTCTATTACCCCTCTCGACCGGGTATCCGGAAATGGATTCCCCAGCGTAAAAAAAAAAAAAAAAAAAATTGTGGGCTGTGAGCTCGTCCACATATCTAAGCAATAAAAAAAAACCGATCCCTGTTTACCGCAAAAGAGATCTTTGAAAGCCCCAATTAAAAGGCTATTCGCCGGAAACTACTGAATATCTTACTCACAACTCGATAGGTGTGCTATTTTAATAGTCACCGAAAGACTGATAGGATACCGATCGTATAAGTATTTTTAATCATAATGATCAATAATGACTCGCAATAACCACAGAAAAGAATGTTATAAAACTATATTTAGATATATAAAACATGTACAGCAGCCTTTTCATATTTCAAGGTCGACTTCCTGAAACATTTCCATTGAAACTAAACTGGACTTGTACAAAAAACATTATGTATTGTTAAGCATTGTTAGCTTGTTTCTACAATAAAAAAGTACACTTTTTACACTCTACATTACTTTTATAAATAGGTAGAATTTGCTCAAGTTGAATTGAATTTATATTTACATTTTTTGTTTACTTTATTTTTTAGAATTTATTTTTATAAATTGGTAGAATTTGCTCAAGTTGATTATAATTTGCTAATTTGCTACTTTGCTAGCATTCTTTGAAAGCTCTGAAGTTATAGAGTCGATTTCATAATTTCTTTTGTAGATGACACTATGACTGAATAAGTTGTATTATGTTTGATATAAATACGATTCGAATTTCATCAACATCCAATAAACTACAGTTTGTCCGTATAATGTACGGCTGGCAGTTGGAACGTGACTCGAGAAGAATCAGAAAGCTTAAGAGAGAAGCACTCTCCGCGATAACAAAGAAATCTGGGCTTGGTTCCTGCAGCGGGCTCTCCAGAATATTTAATTGACGACGCAGCAAATGTATGTATGTATCGTAACTTCGATTAACTTCTAAATGTAAGTAAGGATAACCCCGTGACATCTATGGAGTATGGTAGCAACTCCCATTAGATGGGCTCATATGCCCATCTGCAGCAGTAAAAAAGGTTATATTTTTATTGGTTAGATAGATGGTCGAGCTCACGACCGGTGTTATCAGAGCTCATGATCAACAACGTAATTGCCGCAAGCTTGAGGCAGTCTCAGTGCTATAGTTCAACGGCTAACCCACCCTTCAAACCAAAGCGTGTTACTGCTTCACGGCAGAAATAGGAGGGGCGGTGGTACCTACCCGTGCGGACTCACAAGACGGCCTACCACCGGTAAGAAGCCGTTGTAACTATACCTGAGACCTTAGAACTCATATCCCAAGGTGGGTGGTGGCATTTATGTTGTAGATCACTATGGGCTCCGGTAACTACTTAACACCAGGTGGGCTGTGAGCTCGTCCACCGATCTACGCAATAAGTAAATAAATAAAACAGTCAAATCTTACAAAATTTCCTCTCGTTTATTTCATCTACAATTTGAGAACCTTCAAACATATAATTATAGACAGATAATATTTATAATAATATATCCATGTAATGACAATTAAATTTCATTTTTTTTTCGTAACATCCGATATTCACTCACTGAGCGAGTGATCTCGTGAGGTTAATTAATACAAATGACCTGATGAATTTGTTAAGCATTTATGGGACGTTCAACCGTTTGTTTATACATTAATATGTATGTATATATAAGTAGTGATAACGATATTAAGAATCATTGAAATCAAACTACGCCGCTTAAATAACAATACCGTGCAAGTGAAATAGGGTTTTTAGCTAAAAACTAAACAAATTTGACTTACGAGGATCGTCAGCTAAGCTACGGCTTATGTTCAGTGTTTGCGCTGCGTGTATCCTATTGATTTGAAACTTTATACGTTTGCTGTTGTTTCTACCAGGTCATTTACCTCACGAGAGCGTGGTATAGAATATTTGTTGTTTTGTCTCATTCATAGCTGTATTATGTCACAGCATTTATAGCTATGGGCTTTGCTTACTTAAAGTTATGGTCTCCACGAGGCAGACTTGACCTAGCTTGAAGACCGTCGATGTTATGTCATCCTTTGACAAATTTTTTTTTGATTGGCCTTTAATCAAATGTAGATTAATAAATTTAAAGATTGTTTAAACAATTACTCTATCATAATCACTAACTACTAAAAACTATATAAAATTTTAAACTCATTCTCATCCACACCATTTAGAAAACCTCATTACTGATACTAAAACACATCAGTGGCTAAAAAACAAAAGTGAGAAAATTAGTTGATAAACAGAAGATTTTTTTTAATTAATTGTTATACCTTTGTTTATTATCAATCAATAGAACGCAAGAATTATGGCTTATGGAGAAATATTAAAAACTATAAATTACCCATATATTTGATCTAGATCAGCTGTATAAATAATTAATTACATTACTTAGATTATACCAAAACATGATAAAACATGAAGACTAGTAGCTACAGAAGCGCATCGTACTGTATATCTCTCTAAGAAACTGGAACACCTTTACGATCCTGTTAAAAAGGCTTAAGAACAATTACAACAATATACTTTATTACAATAAAATTGAGATTTCAGACTTATGCATCTGTATATTAGTTATAACAGTCAAGTTTGTACTTTAAAGAACCTAAATTAAATAAACTGTCTAAGAATATAGCTTAGTTCTACTTTAAATTACTTCAGATAAAACTACTTTTAGGATTTAATCTCGCGATTATTATTTTCATTTGATTTATCGCGACGTTTCAAATACTGCACTGTTTTTTTGGTCGCGGATGACTGAGGCG